CACTCGACCACCTTGATGAATTTGATAGGCTCTGCAACCTAACAAAAATCAATGGTGTCAGTGAAGACGGATTCAAGCTTCGTTTGTTTCCATTCTCCTTGGGCGACTAAGCATACATCTGGGAGAAGAATCTGCCCCATGACTCAATCATCACCTGGGATGATTGCAAGAAGGCTTTTCTATCAAAATTCTTCTCCAACGCCAGAAATGAGATCTCTGTCTTTTTATAGAAGGCTAGTGAAAGCTTCTGTGAAGCATGGGAGCGTTTCAAGGGTTACACCAACCAATGCCCTCATCATGGCTTTACTAAAGCCTCTCTGCTCATCACTCTTTACAAAGGAGTTCTACCACCCATCAGAATGCTTCTAGATACCGCCAGCAATGGGAATTTCCAGAACAGGGATGTTAAAGAAGGCTGGGAATTGGTTGAGAACCTTGCTCAGTCAGATGGTAATTACAACGAGGACTGCGATAGGACCATCAGAAGCACAGCTGACTCTGATGACAAACACATGAAGGATATAAAAACGCTGAATGACAAGCTGGACAGAATTCTTCTTAGCCAGCAGAAGCATGTGCACTTCCTTGTTGATGACGACCAGTATCAGGTCCAAGATGGAGAGGGTAACCAGTTGGAGGAAGTCAGCTACTTCAATAACAACAAGGGTGGCTACAAAGGATACAACAACTTCAAAACCAACAACCCCAACCTCTCCTACCGCAGCACCAACGTTGCTAATCCTCAGAATCAGGTGTATCCTCCACAGCAACAACAAGGTCAGAACAAACCTTTTGTTCCCTACAACCAAGGTTTCGTTCCCAAACAGCAATTTCAGGGGAACTACCAGCAACAACCACCACCTGGGTTTGCAACTCCGCAAAACCAAGGTCCTGCTGCTCCTGATGCTGAAATGAAACAGATGGTACAACAGCTGCTACAAGGACAAGCATCTAGCTCCATGGAAATTGCTAAGAAATTATCTGAATTGCACCATAAGCTGGACTGCAGCTACTAAGACCTGAATGCCAAAGTGGAGGCATTGAATACCAAAGTCAGATACTTAGAAGGCCAATCAGCATCTACCTCTGCACCTAAAGTTACAGGACTTCCTGGGATGTCAATACAGAATCCAAAGGAGTATGCAACTGCTCACGCCATCACCATCTACCATGATCGAGAGCTGCCAACTCGACCTGTCCATGATTTAATCACTGGGACAGTGATGTTCAAGAAGGGGAGGCTTCTACTCAGATTGAAGTCTATGTTGTTGAATTCAATCATTCTGCTGGTTCTCGCCATCTCATTTAATCCACTCGGAAGAGAAGGCCGCCATAATCGAGAGAATGGTGAAACGATTCAAACCTACTCCATTACCCTCACGTGCTCTTCCGTGGACATTCAGAAAATCATGGATGGAGAGATACAAGTCTGTTGCATCGAAGCAGCAGGACGAGATTGAAGCAGTGATGCCACTGATGGAAGTTATCAACCTGATTCCTGATCCTCACAAAGATGTAAGAAATTTGATACTGGAAAGGATCAAAATTTATCACGATTCAGATGATGAAAGTGATGCCACTCCATCTCGAGCTACTGATAAGAGGATTATTCAAGAAAAGTTAAAAGATCCTGGATCTTTCACTCTACCATGTTCCATTGGGGAATTAGCTTTCAGCGATTGCCTGTGCGATCTAGGAGCCTCTGTCAGCTTAATGCCACTCTCTGTGGCAAGAAGGTTAGAGTTTATTCGGTATAAACCTTGTGACTTGACTTTGATCCTTGCGGGTAGGTCTTCCAGAAAACCCTTTGGCATGCTGAAAGATCTACCAGTCATGATTAATGGAGTAGAAGTGCCTACAGACTTTGTGGTGCTGGATATGGAAGTAGAGCATAAGGATCCCTTAATCCTGGGAAGACCCTTCTTAGCTTCAGTGGGAGCAGTGATAGATGTCAGGGAAGGGAAAATAAGTCTCAACCTTGGAAAGCACATCAAGTTGCAGTTTGACATCAACAAAACTCCACAAGGGTCAACAGAAGATGGAAAAACCTCTGGAAATGATAGAGTGATCTCAGGAGAAGGATATGAGACTGAAAGAGTGAAAGAACTTAAAAAGAGGTCTGATAAGCAAGATGAAACTATAGAGAAGCTAGCCCACACTGTTGAGGAACTTAGGAGTAAGCTGAATCAGATGCAGAAGGAAGCTCAACCTAAAGGCGGGATTAACACTATCCCGAGAAAAAAGTTCACTTCAAGATGGTCTGAAGAAACAGATTACCCTCCAGAAGAGAAAGAAGTTTATTTTGAAGAGAGGGGAATTGAGTATTCTGCTACAGACCTCTCCAGGGAGGACGCTGAGTATGATGATATTAGAGAGGACTATGCAGACCCTCTCTATCATTCATTTTCTTCTTAATAAGTGTGAGGAGTCAAGCTAGAGACTTTAAACAAGCTCACTTGGGAGGAAGTCCCATGATTATCCTTGTAAATAATCTTTACTTTCTTGTTATTTTTGATATGTTTTAGTTGTGTTTGTGGTTCTCAGGAGTAGAGGAATAACGTGAAGCTAGAGTAAAAATTCAAAAATTTTACTCTACAGATGGCTTAGAGATCGAGTACATTGGACGAGTATGAGTGATGTTTAAAACCCAAAAAAAATTAAATCATCATTTTACTCGACCAACAGAAGCTACAGAGACTTACAGAGCGTTTATCAAGTCTACAGAAGATTGCGGGATTTTCTGGGGTTTTTACAATAAACAAAGAGTACACAATAAGGACAAGAAGACATTGTGGGACCAACCGCTGACGCCCATGTCCTCCATGCAACAGACCAAAGGACAAGAAATCTCTCCTCATCTCTTCTCCTCCACTCGACGTCAACCCCATCACTCGACCCCCATCCCTCTTCACTCGACCTCATCACCTCGTCATCTCCTCCACTTCCATTAAACTCCACCTCCATCTCTCATCCAAACTCAACCAAACTCTCATCTCTTTTCTCTCAATCACTCGACCTCACCATCTCTCTTCCTCACGCACTTGAATCCTCAACGCCCACTCGATCTCTTCACCGCCGAACGCTTATCACCATCAAGCTCATCATCTCTCCATTCGCGACATCACTACACCTCCGCCTCTCAACCTCACAGTCACTCGACCTCGCTGTTTCACTCGATTCACTGCATCTCTCTCATCATCGCTCACTCGCATTCTCACCAAGTACTCAATTTCAAATCATCATCAACTTCACCGCTTTGCTCCATTCACTCGACCACCGTTACTCACTCGACTTCACGGCAAGAGCACCTCCGCCTCTCCACCAGCACAATCACTCGAATCACCGCTCCTCCAATTTCACTCGACCTCTCATTGGCTCTCGCTCATCACCGTTTGACCAAGGAATCATAACCTCCACACATACTCGATTACAAAGCAACTAGCGATCATCTCCGAAAGTCACTCGACCTCTTTTAAACCGCTTCACCATCTCTCGCCTCTCAAGGTCACTCGATCGCGAAGCGCACTCCATTCACACAACCAAGGAGTCACTCGACCGCAAGTTCACCAAACCGAAAAAAAAAAAAAAAAAAATTGGTTCACTCGACCGGTTTACTCTGTTGGTTTGGGTTTTGGTTTTGTTGGGACTAACGTATTAATGTTTATCTTTGATTTTCGTCTGTTTTCAGGTTTCATCATGAGTAACTACAGTGGAGAATCCTCTATGGACCCTGATTATAATGTGGATGAAGCGGAGTCCTGATCCACTAGACCGAGAGAGCAACATACTTATGAGAGCTTCAGGGATGAATTTAAACGCTCCGCTGCTCGACGTAATCAAAGAAGAGCTGAAACCGCTAGAGGAAAGAGGGCGATGTCGAGTAGATATGAGCTGATTGATGAGGACATCGAAACTGAGTATGAGCCAGAGTCATGGCGCAAGGAGAAGAAGCTGCTGAACAAACCCAACGAGGTTACAGTGGAGGAGTATATCAAATTCTTTGAGATGAATGACTTCTGGGGAACGAGGTATCCCTGCTATGAGACTTTAGCCCAACTGGGGTTACTGGAGGACGTGTAGCATCTGTTCGAGAAGTGTCATCTAGAGACACTCATGTCTTACCCTTACGCTGCCTATAAGGAGGAGACAATCGAGTTTCTTTCCACGCTGCAAGTGGAGATGTATAAGGGACTCACAGACTTTGAGCTGGATACCATGGGGTTAGGCTTCTTGACGTTCTCAGTGGATGAACAGCAGTATCAGCTTTTGATCAAGAAGTTGGAAGAACTGTTTGGTTTCCCTAGTGGAAAGGGAACCAAACCGAGGTTTGACAGGGAAGAGCTTAAGGATTTGTGGGCCACTATTGGGAACAATCTACTGCTAAACTCGGCGCGGTCCAAGAGCAACCAAATCCAAAGTCCTGTGATCCGCTACTTTCAGCGCTCGGTTGCCAACGTTTTTACTCCAGGGAGTCTACAGGCACCGTGTCTAACACGGACATGGAGATGATAGATTTCGCGCTTACAGGGATTCTCCACCGTACAAAGGGAAAGAATGTCTTGAGAGGCGATCTCAACAACGCACCACCAGTAATGCCTCTGTTGATCCATCTGTGTGGATACAGGAAGTGGCCGTTGACGAACGACAAGAAGAAGGTGAGAGCAGCACTCTGCGTGGGTGGCGTTGTGTCACCAATTCTGGAAGCTTGTGGAGTACCGCTCAAGGAACCAGGGTTAGCACCGAGGATGATGGACTTGGATCATTTGCGCCGATGTGAATTCTTGGAGTATGACATGGCAGGCGACTTCCACCGCTACAGGTTCGAGCATTCATCGATTAGAATCACCAACATTCTTCTCCCCTGCATTGACGCTACTAGATTCTCGAGGGAAGGAACATCGACTTCAAGCCTGCGCTTGAAGATCTTTATTTCGAGGGCAGTCCGCCAACTGAGGAGGTTAGTCACACCGAAGGAGCTACAACAGAAGATGTTGATGAGACAGATGATATAGATGAGGCGGATTTTGGCACAAGCATGTATCATTTCAGCGAGCATATACCTCCATCAAGGGAAAGCAAGAGTTTGAGCGAAGCTCCGTTCATTCTTCGACTGAGGTAAGCGCCTCACTTCACCATTGTATTATATCATCTGTTGTGATTTGTTCTTCATTTTGTTTCTGTGATTGGATTTGTCCTGCGTACTCTGTTCCAAGTTTATTCACACAATGGACTGTGTGATTTAAGTTTGGGGGAGGGCTCAGGAAGTGTGTGTTGCATTGTGTATATTTTTGAGTCTGCATTCATCTAAGGCATAGAATAACCAAAAAATTTGAAAAATTCAGAAAATGATTTCACAAAAAAAAGAGTGTTCATGTAGTTGAATTACATTTAGGATCGAGTCTAGAGTGTTTCATTTAGGATTGTTGCATATGCATAAGGGATAATGATGAGATAGCCTTGTAAGCATTTTGGTTGACCGGATAAACTCAATGCCCTCCTTGTTGGTTGTCTGTTGCGTAGTCAATGAATTTGAAATAAAACTGAACCATGCCTAGATTGCTCTACTCGACCACACTGTCATGATCTGATACCATTCCCTATCAATTTGAACCTGAATTTGATCTTTAATTATCGTGTCTGCCTCAAATTTGAACTCATGGATACCCTAAAATACTTGGATTTTCTTATTCATTTTGATCACTCTTGTTAATCCAAGTAGCTGACTCTCCTTATTAGAGCAGTTAACCCAAACCCAAACCTAGACTTTCTTTCAAGCCCTATATCACTTGTGAGTGTTTGTGAGGTCTTATTTCGATTAAGCTTGGTAGAAAGTGTTAGGTTCATAACGACAGAGATAGTGTCTCATATAGTTCTAGTTCGCATTTTTCGGACTAGATAGGACTAGGTGTGCGCTTATACTTTGGGTTGGGATGTGTTTAAAAGGAAAAAAGGGCTTGATTCATTGATGAGAAAAGGTAAAAGACTCTAGGTGAAGTAAGCTAAAGAAGCAGAAAAAGTCTAGTAAAGGTTTTGGGATTTGTAAAGAAAAGAAAGAGTTCTTGTTAGCTATTGAAGATGGGCAAAAGCCCTCGATTTTAAAATCTTAAAAACATGAACCTTAGTTGTTAAAGAAATCCAAATCCGCTAGATGTATCAAAGTGTTGATAAAGCTTCTCCTAGAGTTAAGAGAAAAGAAAAGAATGATTAGAAAAAGGGCCTAAAAGATTCATGAATGCAAAGGGTGTAATTAAGTTCTTATATTGGGATTGGAGATGGGATTACCATTAGAGCTTCATTTGATATACTCTGGGTAGATGGGATCTTATCTCTGTATGCATAGCTTGGGACTCACCTTTAGCATTATACTAAAGCTTAATTATTTTTTGAGAGATCCCCTGTTACTGAAGCCTATTTTGTAAGGGACCATCTTTGTCTCTTGACCTTTTACCTTAGCCAAATGAGTTCCTTGATGATGCATTGCTTGATTCACGTTCCATAACTAATGAATGTTAAAGGGATTGATAGATTTGAGAACATGTGTAGGTCGAGCATATGAGTCGGATTGATTGATAATAAGGAATGGCTAACGTTTTTGAGTAGAATTCGATCATATTGCAGCACAGAACTCTCAACTTGGACATTGATTTCATCTGGTTTATCTCGTGTTGTGGCTCTGAGTCCCCGCTTTCAAACTTCACCTCCAGCTTGTTCTTAATTGTTTGCTTGAGGGCAAGCAAAGACTAAGTTTGGGGGAGTTGATAAGTGTGTATTTTGCATGTTTTGAGCATCCATTTGTCATCACTTTAGCATCATATAATCACTGTTTTATACCATTTCTCATCATTTGTCATCACTTTGCATGTTTAGGATATGCTTGCATGCATGTTGCATATTTGTGTTGATTTAGGTGATTTGGAGCAGTTGACGAGCTAACTGGAAGAAGCGGACCTGATCATGTCAAACCACTCGACCACCAGGTCGAGTAGAAGCTTCAAGACCTCAACAGACCACTCGACCCCTTAGTCGAGTAGGGGACTTCACAACTTCATCTCACCACTCGACCCCCTAGTCCAGTATATTCACCTCCACCACCTGACCGTCACTCGATCACATCACTCGACTTCGAGGTCGAGTGTCTTCACCTCCACTACCTGATCATCACTCGATCGCACCACTCCACCTTGAAGTGGAGTATCACCATCACAACCACTCGACTACATACTCGATGGCGAGCTTCAGAGTCTTCTCCATTCCACACTCAACCAGACACTCGAGCACAAGGAAGAAAAGAAGACTCCAGCTTATCACTCGACCTCTCACTCGACCACCTGGGTCGAGTACAGTTCTTAATCCGTCCTAATACTGCGTCATTTTAAGTATTAGGGTTTCAGAATATTTTGCTATAAGTAGCATGTACTTTACATTTTCGAGAATAAGTTTTTATCTAGTTTTATTCCGCAAACACTGTGTTCTAGACCTTTTGTAATCCGGATTTCTCTTTATCTATTCAATATTGAGCATTCAGTATTTGTTCTTGATTTCGTTTACTGTTGTTCATTCTGTTATCGTTTTGCTATTACACTGTTGTTATCATGTTTTCATCCTTTTCAACGTTTATGTTCTCTGCAATGATGTCTGAGTAGTGAATAGGTTTCTGAGGATGGGTTAGAGTAGTGTAGAATTCTCAATATGCTAGGTGGTTGAGTATTGATTGATAGATCCCTTCTGGATTAGTTGTTCTTAATGCATATTGCTTTCTGATCAACTGGAATTTGAGCCCAGACATTTCCGCGCCCAAAAGATGTTCGATGACATGTCTGAACCACTAGTTCCAGAAATTCGTGGCCCAGTACCAAGGTATTGGTTGTACGGAGCGTTTTGGCTTTAACTTGTTGATTCGTAATGCTTGTTAGGTTAGCTCTCGTCAATGGTGATTGAGTCTGGGACTAGGTTAACTTGAGAGTCTCTGTTGCGGTGGCACTTAGATTTGGTTAATGAACTTGTTGTCTAGGGATAATTTATTAAGCATGTCAATCACCTGTAAACTGAGAAAACGAAACTACTCAATTACCCCATCCTCGGGAATTCTTTATCTGATATAATTTATTGTTTACTCTATTGCTGTTTACTGCATCTTGTCATCTGTTGCTTAGTTTCTGCAATTCTTTACTGTTACTCGACCTGATACTCGACCACCTAGTTGTCTGGCAACAGACTGTGCAGTCGAATATCCCTGTTTCATTTTCTGTCTGTTACTCGACCTGTCACTCGACCACACCCAGTGCTCTGCAACGAGCTGTGTTGGTCGAGTGTTTTATTGTTTCTACTTGAATTTCTGTTTTCTGCATGTTCACTTGGAACTGCTAGAACACAACAAAACCTGTTATTGCTTGGCTTGACTTAGCGACTTCTAATCACATCTTGATTGTTAGCATCACACCCATTTGGATTGACAACCTTCAGTACTACAACGATATGATAGTGCTTTAGGATTAATTGATCTTAAAAACCTATTATCACGCTGAAATCAGTTATGTTCAGAACCAAGGCAGCTACAACAAAGGGTACAACAATTACAGACCCAACCCAAATATGTCATACAGAAGCACAAATGTCGCCAATCCTCAAGACCAAGTTTACCCTCAGCAGCAGCAGCAGCAGCAGAACCAACCCAAACCATTTGTTCCTTACAACCAAAGCCAAGGGTTCGATCCTAAGCAGCAGTTCCAAAGAGGGTATCAAAAGCAACAGCCACCACCTGGTTTCACACCACAGCAACATCAGGCCTCTACACCCCAGGAATCAGACATCAAAAATATGCTCCAACAGATCATGCAAGGCCAAGCCGCAGGGGTAATGGAAGCCGCTAAGAAGCTGACTGACTTAAACAACAAAATTGACAGACAGTTCGTTGAACTGAGTAGCAGGATGGAAAAATTGAGCACAAGAGTACGATATTTGGACGGCATCACCACTTCACCACCTGTTACAAATAACCCAGGCAAGCTTTCAGGAAAAGCAATCCAGAACCCTAAGGAGTATGCCACTGCCCACGCAATCACTATCAGACATGAGCGAGAGCTGCCAACTCAACATGTCTCTACATCAAACTCTGAGGACAGTGTAATTTAAGAAGGGGAGGCTTCCACTCAGATTGAAGTCATTGTTGCTGAGATCGACTATTCAGCTCAACCTTTCTATCAGGCTCAGTCTGACTTTGAGGAGAAGGCTGCTAAAATCGAGAGGATGGTAAAACGATTCAAGCCAGCTCCATCACCTTCACTTGCTCTTCCATGGATGTTTAGGAAAGCTTGGAAAAACAGATATGAATCTCTTGAAGAAAAACAACTTGATGCGATGGAAGCTGTGATGCCCTTAGTAGAAGTCCTCAAGTTGATTTCAGACCCTCACAAAGATGTGAGAAACTTGATATTGGAAAGACTCAACATATATCACGATTCAGATGACGAAGACGATGTCAATATGCATCAAGCCGCTGGTGAGAGGATTATTCAAGAGAAGCTGGAAGATCCTGGATCTTTCACTCTGCCATGTTCCATTAGGCAATTGACTTTCAGCAATTGTCTATGTGATCTAGGAGACTCAGTCACTTTAATGCCACTCTCTGTGGCAAGGACGTTGGGATTCATTCAGTACAAGCCCTGTGACATCACCTTGATCCTTGCTGATAGAACTTTAAGGAGACCTTTCAGCATTCTACAGAACGTGCCAGTAATGATAAATGGAGTAGAGGTGCCTACTGATTTTGTCGTGCTTTAGATGGATGAAGAATCTAAGGATCCTCTGATCTTAGGAAGACCTTTTTTAGCCTCAGTGGGAGCAGTAATAGATGTCAGATATGGTAAGATTGATCTCAACCTTGAGAGGCACATCAAGTTACAGTTTGACATCAACGAATTTCCAACAAGGTCACCAACAGAATGATAAACCTTAGAGATTCAGAGAGCGGTTCCAAGTGAAAGCCTTGAGATCAAAAGAGGGAAGGAGCAAAATTCAGTTCAAACTCCGCCTTCGAACTAGACTACTCGATCGAGTATACCCTCCACACTTGATTGGCTGGAACTCAAAAGGGAGACTGATATCCAGAACAGCATCATTCAGAAGCTGAACTACACTTTTGAAAAGCTTAGAGACAAACTAAGTCGAATGCAAAAGAAGG